GTTTGGGCAGAAGATGGCGTGTGCTATCGGATGCTCTATTTGGAATAGCTGGTGTCGGGTTATGTCGACAATTCGTGGCTGATTTCGAACAAATAAAAGAAGTGGTTTTTAGCTAATCGTTATAAATATAGTCTTTAATTTACAGTTCAGTGTGTTCAGGGTATAGTGGGTTGTGCGTTTAAAGTACAATATATGTACGGGTGTATCTATATCTATATATCTATACTATTATATAAAATATTATATGGAAATTGTTTGTCACGACTTATTTCTCAAACTACTAAACCGATTTTAATAATTATTTTTTTTTAAAACGAAGCATTTGTAAAAAGAAACCGAGTGGCATACCTTTTTTTTATTCTTGGAAGATAAGTACCCTTTTTTTTGTGTAAAGTTACCAAAAAATACAAATACGTACAAGCATAAGCCTATTTGGTTGTTGCTGTTGTAGCGGCTACAACAACCCCGGCTAGATCGGTTAGTCCCTCAATTGTTGTCGTCAAGCTCCACTAACGGCAGCCCTAGGAAGCGTGCAGCCTCGACGGGGTCTGTCCATAGGGACAGGGGCGTTAGCAGGGTGGGGTTGCTGTGCGTTCCCACGACAGTCGGGTCTACGTAACCGGAACGACCCAGATTTATATTTGGGCAAAGACTGTCACTCCAGCAACACTCCCCAAAAACTCTTTGGGGAGCTTGTATGCTGCTAAAACAACAACAACAACAACAACAAGAGATGCCGTGAGTCATGGGGCGACTGTCCGCATGCCGGGCATTCGTTTGGAATATCTTCGCTTAATTTGCTCAGGTATGAGTTCAACCTGCTGCAGTAACCAGCATAGCGCATAGCTACGCGAAAATTCTGTACATCAGTGCCGATCAAACACGAGCTCACAAAGGCAAACGAGAGGTGTATGAGCGACGTGACTGCGCTGTACCACATACATGCACACATAAACGTATTTGAGTAGTCCACTTGCGAACAGCGTTATGTGATTTTATAATAGTAAGCCATAAATTAAAAAAAGATGTCTACAACAACAAGTAACATCCAAATTGTATATGTATTTTTATTATCTGAAAATTTGGATAAATAAGAGCGTAGGTTAGGTTAGGTAAGGTTGGAGTGGCAGCCCCGCGCAGAGCGCGGAGCACACGTGGGCTGGAAACGCCCGTTGTGATACCCTTGGCGGAAGCCATTTGTTTCTTTCCCTTCCTTAGTAATTGAACCACCGAGTGCGTTTTATATAGCACGAAAAGTCGAGGACGTTCGCCGAGTTCAAATCGGCTAAACAATCTAGAAAGTACTTGTTGAGGAATCGGTTGCGTGTGTTGGCCAGGGCGGGACAATGGCAGAGATAGTGTTCAACGGTCTCCACCTCTTCCTCGTCTCTGCAACTGCGACAAAAATCGTTGGTGGGGTATCCTAGCCTTTTTCCGTGTGTGCCCATCAGGCAGTGTCCGGTGATAACCCCGACTACTAATCTGAGAGAGGAGCGGTCCAGCAGGGTAAGAGCTATGGATCGCTTTACATCAATTTTTGGCCAAATTTGCCTGGTAGTATGGCAGGTGGTTTCCACAGCCCACCTGAAATTTACCTCCTCGACGAGTTCCGTCATTAGTCTATGTTTGCAGGAGGTTAGAGGTATGCCCGCGTTCTGAGCAGAATTGACTTCAGATATTTCCGTCCCCCTCCTTGCCAGCTCGTCGGCTAGGCAGTTGCCAGGAATGTCCCTATGTCCAGGGACCCATAGAACAGTGAAGGAGCATTTTGATGCCAGCAGGTTGAGAGTATTTCTGCATTCGATGGCTACTTTGGACGTTGCTTCGTTAGAATTGAGAGATTTGATAGCAGCCTGGCTGTCAGAATAGATAGCAATAGGCCGTCCTGGAGGGGCGGAGGTTATGACCCAGCGTGCCGCCTCCATTATGGCGTTCAATTCTGCTTGAAAAACACTACAATGGTCCGGTAAGCGAAAACAGGTTTAGCGCGAGTTCGTCAGAGTAGATCCCGCTACCCAGTCTTTTCTTAAGTTTGGAACCATCTGTATATATGGCCGTAGACCCTGGGTTCAGGTCTGTGGCCCCTTCCCATTCGTTCCTCTCTGCGATTCTTATGGAGAATTTGCNAAAAATCGTTGGTGGGGTATCCTAGCCTTTTTCCGTGTGTGCCCATCAGGCAGTGTCTGGTGATTGCCCCGACTACTAATCTGAGAGAGGAGCGGTCCAGCCGGGTAAGAGCTATGGATCGCTTTACATCAATCTTTGGCCAAATTTGCCTGGTAGTATGGCAGGTGGTTTCCACAGCCCACCTGAAATTTACCTCCTCGACGAGTTCCGCCTTTAGTTTGTGTTTGCAGGAGGTTAGAGGTATGCCCGCATTCTGAGCAGAATTGACTTCAGATATTTCCGTCCCCCTCCTTGCCAGCTCGTCGGCTAGGCAGTTGCCAGGAATGTCCCTATGTCCAGGGACCCATAGAACAGTGAAGGAGCATTTTGATGCCAGCAGGTTGAGAATATTCCTGCATTCTATGGCTACTTTGGACGTTGTTCCGTTAGAATTGAGAGATTTGATAGCAGCCTGGCTGTCAGAATAGATAGCAATAGGCCGTCCTGGAGGGGCGGAGGTTATGACCCAGCGTGCCGCCTCCATTATGGCGTTCAATTCTGCTTGAAAAACACTACAATGGTCCGGTAAGCGAAAACAGGTTTAGCGCGAGTTCGTCAGAGTAGATCCCGCTACCCAGTCTTTTCTTAAGTTTGGAACCATCTGTATATATGGCCGTAGACCCTGGGTTCAGGTCTGTGGCCCCTTCCCATTCGTTCCTCTCTGCGATTCTTATGGAGAATTTGCTGTCTAAACAGAGTAGAGGAGTGGTATAATCTATCTGTCGTAGATTATCCGGTAGAGTTTTAAGTACTTTTGCGTGTCCGAATCTGAGGTCTCTCCACGGCTGGATTGTATTTAACCTGGCCGCACTGCAGCCGGCCCGAAATGTTCCATAGAGATCCACAGGTGGAAGATTTAACATTATTTCCAGAGATTTGGTGGGTGTAATGGGCAGTGCTCCCGTGACTTGCATGGCAGCCGTCCTCTGCACCCGTTCCACCTTGGCTCTGGACAAAGTGTTGTTTAGCGCAGGCCACCATACGGTGACCCCGTAGAAAAGTATGGGTCTTATCACAGCTGTGTACATCCAGTGTACTATTCTTGGGTTAATTAACCGTCTTACTGGCATAAAGGGCGGTATTGGCCTTTTTGGAGCGGTCTTCAATGTTTCGCTTCCAGTAAAGTTTTTTGTCTAGAATAATTCCAAGGTATTTGACCTCGGTTGAGAGAGTAAGTGCCACTCCGTTTAGGGTGGGATGTTTAAATAAGGGAGTTTCATACTTCCTTGTGAAAAGTACCATTTCTGTCTTGGCATGATTGACACTAAGTCCACATTCCTTGGACCAGATGTTTGCCCGTTGCCACGATTGCTATGTCATAGGCGTACGCTATGACTTGACAACCGGTGCCCTTTAGGCTTAGAAGTAGGGTGTTCACTGTTAGATTCCAGAGAGGGGAGAGAACGCCCCCTTGGGGGGTGCCTCTGGTCACATACGTTGTGATGGAACCATCCCACAGTTCTGATAGAATAGTTCTCTTTTCAAGAAGGAGCCCAACAAAATCTACCAGACCCCGCTGCACCCCCGCCATGAGAAGGGAGTTAACAACAGACTTCGGGTAGACATTGTTGAAAGCACCCTCGATATCGAGAAAAACTCCGAGCGTGTATTCCTTTAAGGCCAATCCTTTTTCCATCGTCGATACGATTTCATGGATTGCGGTATCCACGGATTTTCCTTTGGAATATGCATGCTGGTTCGGGAGAGGTCGTAATTTTTTGTATTCCGTCGAATATATTCGTCGATGAACCTCTAGAGTTTTAAGGAAGAATGAAGTGAGGCTTATAGGCCTGAAATCCTTCAGTTTCACATGAGGGGCCTTGCCTCCTTTTGGTAAGAATACAGCTTTTGCCTTTGTCCACTCATGTGGTATGTGAGTCAGGGTTAGGCAGGATGTAAAAATCTGAGAAAGCAGGGGGCACAGTATGTCCTTAGCTTCCTGTAGTTGAGCGGGAAAGATTCCTCCTGGAAGGACATTAAAGCCCATTCCACCCTCTCCTCACTTACGACGTCCCTAACGGTATCACCCAGAGACAAGTAGGTCTTAGGACCGGGCGAAAAGCCGGAGGTGTCGTCCGAGCAGCCCGGGGAGTGAGTGCTCATAAGGACCCCCAGCATTTCGTTACACGATGTCGTCCAGTCACCGTTAGGCTTCTGGATGGAGTTCATACTCGAAGAGGATTTCGAGAGAACTTTCCTCAGCCTGTTGGCTTCAGAGTTCTCTTCTATGTTGTTGCAGAAGTTTTGCCAAGGTTCGCGTTTCGCCCTCTTTATGGCCTTCTTGAAAACTTTTGAGTGCGTCTTTGTATGGTTGCCAAAGACCTGTTTGCTTAGAATGATTGAAGAGCCTCCTGCTGTTCTTCCTCAGTGATGAAATCTCAGGATTCCACCACTGGGGTTTCTTTTTGCCCTTCGGGAGGGTGCTTGGGCAGGAGGCTTTGAAAGCAGCATTATAGGCATTTGTCACAAAGTTCACTGCTTCATAAATTTTTGACGATGAGTCCAGCTCACCGACAGAAATACTCTTCATATTCGAGAGACTCGCTTTATCAGGTCTTAACGATAAGCAGGACTTATCGTGAGAAGCGTATCTGCGTAGAGAGGCCGACAGCGTATTCCTATACTTTGCCCAGTCGGTTCGCTTTCTGTTCCTGTATGCTGTTAAAGGAGCAGGATTAAAATTGAGATTGAAACTAATGTATAAATTTTTGACGATGAGTCCAGCTCACCGACAGAAATACTCTTCGTATTCTAGAGACTCGCTTTATCAGGTCTTAACGATAAGCAGGACTTATCGTGAGAAGCGTATCTGCGTAGAGAGGCCGACAGCGTATTCCTATACTTTGCCCAGTCGGTTCGCTTTCTGTTCCTGTATGCTGTTAAAGGAGCAGGATTAAAATTGAGATTGAAACTAATGTATAAATTTTTGACGATGAGTCCAGCTCACCGACAGAAATACTCTTCGTATTCTAGAGACTCGCTTTATCAAGTCTTAACGATAAGCAGGACTTATCGTGAGAAGCGTATCTGCGTAGAGAGGCTGACAGCGTATTCCTATACTTTGCCCAGTCGGTTCGCTTTCTGTTCCTGTATGCTGTTAAAGGAGCAGGATCAAAATTGAGATTGAAACTAATGTAGAGGTGGTCAGAAAAAGAGTGTTCCTTGGACACCTGCCAGTCCCTTATCCGATCGGACAAACGCTCGACACAAGGGTGATGTCCAGCACTTAGCTTCTAACAGAGGTCACAAAGGTGGCATCGGCCCCACGGTTACATACAGTAAGATTATATAAAAGAATAAATGCCCCTATTATGATTCACAATGATAGTTTAGTTGTAGTTGTCGATTTCGTATTACGATTTACAACTCAACTCAACTTTCAATCAGCTGTTCACTTAGTTGTCTTCGTTAAGTTGTTACCAGTATTATGGTTCATAACCAAATTAAAGTTTAGTTGTATGAGCTGTCAAAGTGCGACAACTACTTTTTATCAGTTGTGTTCTTGTTAGCAAGCGGTAAAATGGAAAAAACATTGTAAGTGTTTGTAATAAAATACGTAAAATATGCAGCAAATGGATGAATAAACAATTATTTCAGGAAAATATCAAACAAGCAACAAATTGACAGCCTTGTCGATTTAGTCGAAAAACATCCCGACATTGGAAGAGGGAAAGGCCAATACGGATCTAGTCGCCAAGAAACAAAAGATACTTGGGTGCAGTTTGCAGTCGAGCTGAATAGCCTTGGACCACCATCAAGAACAGGTCCAGAATGGCAACGGGTATGTTACTTTTAACCAAAACAAAAAACAACACCTTATTCAGATTTTTCTATTTAGGTATCGATTCATTATAAAGCCAACCTGAAACGAAAGTTGGCGAAAAATAAAGAAAACTTCCTGGCGACCCAAGAAGCCAATTTGACTGCTAGTGAAGAAAGGGTGTGTGAGCTTACTCAAGTTAACTTATCAATTAATCCCCCTGGGAGAGCGTTCGGGTTAGCTGTTGATTTGACCGCAGAAGAAAATGTAACTCCTCCAGCTACTGATTCGCCGGTAGTAATTGAAAATGCCGTGCCAAACGAGACCCAAACGACTGAAGGCAAGCGAAGCCGAAATTCAATTACTCGAAGGGCAGGCAGGAACACAAACTCAGATTCTGCGAACCCTCAAAAAAATAGAAAGCACGCAGCATAAAGTGTACCAGCTAAAGAAAGAAGAAGTGAAGTTGTTAAAGGAACGTGGAAAAGAAGCAAGTGTCCTTAGGAAGCTAAAGATAGAAATAGCTAAAGAAAAACTGAAAAGACTGAAGAATTGAATATGGGTGATATCTAGCATATATTAAGAAATGGAATTTTTTATAGAATGAATTATTATGTTTTTTAATGAATTTATTTTTTTTTTTCAATGTAAATAACCCTTTTTATCACTTAAGAAACCAAGTTGATTTTATTAGTTACATAAGTACCTCTTTACTTGAAAAATGAATTATTTGTTACTTTTTGTGAAATGAATTAATTTATTAATTTAAAATGAAATACATGTGAGATTTATTGCAATGAACGCATTATGTTGTTCCTTATTCTTTCTCCTTCGACATTCGATGCGGAATTATTTTCCTCAGGTGTGGATTCTTGTTGGTTATCTGTGCTCAAAATGGTATCGGGAAATTGAACTTTGAAATGCTGTGAAATGTTGTGTAAAGCACAGCAAGCATTAACAATTTGCATAGCTTTTTCCGGCGCGTAGTGCAAACCCCGAGCAGAAAGCAAACACCTGAACTTGCTTTTCAGCACGCCAATAGTTCTCAACGGAGTTCCTTGCTTTAGCATGAATTTCGTTGTTGCTCCTTTGTGGTGAGCCATCAACTGTATTCCGAAATGGGGTCATTATAATTCTTCCTAGTGGATATCCTGCATCACCTAGAAATAATTTTTCATATTGTACATACTTCTGTACATAGCAACATTTTATATAATGGCAGTAAGGATCACTTACCCAAAATCCATGTGTTTGTTGGCAAATTCTGATCGAGGTGTTGTTTTAGTGTGCTCACATTCCATAAAGCGGCGCATAATTTTATGATCGTTGATATAGCAGATGTCCGCTTTGATTGCTTAAAGAAGTCCTTCGCCTCATTGAGTAAATATATAAACGCTTCCTTGTTCAGCCTAAAGTAACTAATGAATCTGAAAAAAGAACTATGAAAAACTTTCCGCAGTATCATTAATACAATAACTTACTTGGCCGTTGGTAGCACCAATGGATTAGTCTGGTCTCTAAGGCTCCTTCTAATACGTGTAAGTTGTACATTTTCTTCCTCTTCATCTTCCGAAAAATATATTTCCACGGAGATGTCCATAGTAAATAAATATATTTAAATTTTCACACAATTTTTTGTATACTCGCGTAACTTCCAGCTGATTTGAGTTGTCAAAATTAACAATTTTCAGGTTGGCAATAACTTAACGAAGACAACTTCAATTGGTTGTGAATCATAATACAAAAAAATAGTTGAGTTGAGTTGTAACATTGACAACTCAACTGAGTTGAGTTGTGAATCATAATAGGGGCAAAAGTCAAGTAAACACTCACCCCGGGAGTTGGTGTCGCTTGAGCCCCAGATCGTGTTATGTGAATTAGAGTCGGCCCCTATTATGACCGGGAGCTTTCTGTGATTTGCTCCCTTCACCGCTTCTTCCAGTCTATAGGGTGGAAAAGCATGGCTGTCGTGGGCCATGTAGGTTGTTGCCAGCCAGATCACGCTCTCCGTCAGCTGTACGCTGATGCAGACAGTGGCCTCGTCGCTGTATTGTGAGAGTAAAAAATGAGAATACACTTTTTTAATTAGAATGCACGCTATGATCCTACCTATTACTGGAGCTGTTACCACCTGGTAGGCATCAGAGTTCAGTCCGCAAAGCTTGTTTCTGACGATCCAAGGTTCTTGGACTAGAATCAAGTCCTCAGCTTTATCGCTGAGGCGAAAAAGGAGATCAGCCGAGGCTGCCTTGGAGTGGTGCAGATTAATTTGTAGGATCTGCACCATCCTCAGAATCGGTTATGTCCATTGCTTCTAGCTGTTGTTGTTGTTGTTGTAGCGGCTACAACAACCCCGCCTAGGACGGTTGGTATCTCAGTCGTTGTCGTGAAGTTCCACTAACGGCAACCCTAGGAAGCGTGCGGGTTGTCGGGTTTTCCGGCATGCGAAGAGATGTTTCAGTCATGTGGGGTCTCTCCGCATGCCGGACATCTTCGGCACATCCTCTTCAACCTACTCAGGTAGGAGTTAACCTGCTGCAGTAGCCGGAGCGAAGTTGGCAAGTGTGTGCGTGTCTCCCGAGGCAGATGAAGCTCGTCTCGTCTATGTCCGGGGGTGGTATGCCTAGAACGGCATTCACAGGTCTAGAGTCTACATAACTCGAGACTGAGTCCTGTGAATGCCGTTCAGGCCTGCGGTACGCTGTCGGGTCCAGAGGTTGCTTAATGAACCTCTGGATCTTCGTCCGTCAGTTCATATAGATGCCTCCTGACGTGCCTAGGCGAGGGCTCCTCTGCAAGCAGCTGTCTGTTGCTTGGGTGGCCACTTCTGTGGCTCCCGATCAGGAACTGCTTGCAGAGCATTATATTAGTGCTCCTTATACGGGAGCATTTGCGCCTCGCCGTGCAGTGGTGTTCAGGCGACATCACGAGGCATCCCGTCGCTGTCCTGAGTGCGGTGTTCTGTAC